TTTCCAACACAGTTTTATCAACAGTAATGAAGTAAGCTGCAATAGATGCTGTTAACGAACAAAGATAGCCATATTATTACTCGAGGAAGGTGGTGTGCCATTTCAATTTCTCTCCTATTTCTATGTCCTTAATGGATATTCAAATCAATATGATGCCATGCAGATATCATGGAATCATCAATTCAAGTTACAAGATCCCTTTTTGCTTTGGTTTGCTTCAAAGGAAAAGCCAATCATAAGCCATGCATCTTATAACATGCTATGACTAATCTCTTGAACAACTGATACCATAATCGGTATAGGGATATTATTTTTTAAGGAACAATTGGATGAATAAAATACAACACAATTAGAGATGGAAAGATATATCTCGAACTAGAGGGAAGTTATGATAACAAACTTGATTAATGTATGGCTCCATTTGATGTAATAATTCATAGCCCTATAAATGACCAAAGTTAGTCGTGAGCAAATGCATTCAACAAGTGATTGAAATTTGAAACAATGAGAAAGAAATAGAGAAGTCATGCCATGCGATAACCTGTTTGAAGTATCGAAGATGCACATCATAGTCCCACTAACAGCTTCCAGAAACTCAAATCACTTTTTTGGCTTCAACATTTGAAAGAGAAGTTACATGTAATTGTAAACCATACACTTACCATCTTGAACCAATTTTGAACTACCAAAGCAACATCAATTTAGAAATCATCAGCTAGAAAGTCACTCACTAGATTAAAACGAGTCTGCTCAAATGTTGACCTTGCATTATGAAGTTCCTAGAATAAAACCAACCATGTCAGACTAAAATATCCATCAACATTATATCTACGCAAGTAAGAATGTCAGATACATGGGATTATAAACCATTAAAGCAAGCCATTTTGCAAGATACCTCTTCCAAAACATTGTTAATATTACTCTTTGTACTTTTTCTCAGTGAAAGAAACTTTTCACGAGCCTGCAAGATTACACAAAGCAATACAATGTAAAAATTAATTCGATTTTAGGCCAACTCCAAATTATATTATCACATTCAACCAATGAAAATAATGCAAGCTAACAAACTACACAAGCAAAATAACTTTAAATTCTAAAGCACCTAGTCGTAAATGAGACTAGCCTTGTCAAAGTGTTTAATTGCTTCCTGCACTCAGATAAGATATTTAAAAATAAAAACTTACAAATAAAAAATACATGACTAAAATAATACACAGATTATAAGAAGTTGGATGAATTTATAGCAAAGTGACAAATAAATAACTTATGTTTCTCTTTGATAAGACTGTTTCTACATAACAAAAGTTAATAAGGCAGCCCAACTTTTAGTTAGTTCCAAATCCTCACAACTTTATAGGGTAACTTAAATCTCAATTGAGAGAAAGACGATTACCTTGACCTCAAGTAAATCAATATTGACAAACTACAGTAATTTGTCATTTAGCTCGGTTTCAACCTAGAGAGAAAAGAAAGCATTTCACAAATATTATTGTATGTTAATATGATTGGACAATGAACTATATAGTGTCAAAGTTCAATATAGCAGTAAAATTTATATTCTCACAATTTTGAAAAGAAAGGGCAATTTTATAGAACATAGATGGTGTTAAATATCCATGAAGAAAACAACCAACAAAAGGTTAGTTACTACTGACATTTCTAAATGATTATCATTTCCTTTCACCAGGTATTCACAGCAGCAGTTGGAGAATGCCAAAGAGTGAGTTTATTCAAAACCAGTTATCTTAGGTCCCTACTCCTCAGTAATAAATTTTAATTCATGTAAAAATGATAGTTTAGAGAATTACCTGGGACCGAAGAACTTCCTTGTATGTCCTAATTTCTCTCAATGCTATGGTAAACTTGGCCATAATCGGCCCTAAAGAAGCGAAAAAAGGTTCAATTACACATATGATTTCAAACCAAAATATAATCTAAATGTGATGTTAGAACCGAAGAATAGAATGAAAAAGCTTCTGCGGATCGAACAAAAATCAAACCCATTAACAAATGTATTTGACGGAAAAACAAATTCGTTTCAAGAAGAAAAAACATTCTTATATGATTGATTCTAGACATCTGAATGAATATCAGGTTAAATTATATTTAAAAAAGGAGAAGAGAAATTTCCTTGAGATTTCTCACCTGCAAAAAAAAAAAAAAAAGAAAATGAAAGAATAAAAATTCCAACCTTGAGAGAATTGTTGGGCTCTAAGCTTTTTCTCGTCTTCAGCAAGGGAATGAATTCTCATCTTCAGAAGGGCTCCAAGCAATTACCTAATATGCCAGAAGCAGAAATCAATGCCAAATCAAAGAAGAAGAAGATTTTGTTTCAGCAGAACCAAGCGGGGAGAAGGGTATTTTAGGAAGTAGGGGACATGAATAAGAAAATACCTAAGGGAGATGGGGGACTAACATTCCCGACGAAACATGAAAAAAAACACTGTTGGTATTAATTTTTGACTGGTACTTGGGAATGTGGAGAAACCAAACATGGGTATCTTTAACCCGGAAAAAAATTGCCCCATGAATGAAATATTCCGTGAACCAAACGGGGCCTTATAGTGTGTGAACTATATCTATAAGAATACTACAATAATCATGACTAAATTTATGTTATTTTCACAATTTAAATGTTAATTTAACAATAATTAAAATGTCATGTAGTATATTTCACATTTACTTTAATCTTAACCTTATCATAGTATTTTCCATAGCAAGTTTTGACATTATATTAAACACATCCATTCTACGAGAATTCTAGCATTTGAAGCTGATTCAAATTATCAGCTTCAAATGCTATCACTACAGCTATGGCTCTAAATGAGACGAGACAGATCGCGAGCTACTCGAGTTCGACTCGATCAAGACTCGATAAATACTCGGATTGAATGGACTCAACTCGAGCTCGACTCGAGTTTTTAACGAGCTGAAACGAGCTACTTGATATTCGACTCGAAAAGCTCGTGAGCAGCTCGAAAATATAATATATTAAGATTTTATTTTTTTTAAAATAAATTATTAATAATATTAATATTTATGTATTGATTTTTTTTTAAAAATACTATAAGATTTTCATGTATTTAAGGTTCAGGTTCAAGTTTAAGTTGGAGGCTTCAATCGAGTTAAGTTTAAGATTTTTTTTTTCATTTCGAGCCCTTTTGAGCTGCTCACGAGCTTCAGTTCAGGATTTCGAGTTCGAGTCGAGCTTGAAAATTTTAAGCTCGCGAGTTTTTGAGTCGAGTCGAGTCGAGCTCCATTTCAGAGTTTTCGAGTTGAGTCGAGCTCCATTTCAAAGTTTTCGATTCGAGTCAAGTCGAGATCAACAATACTCGAGCTCGACTCGGCTCATTTACACCCCTAACTACAACAAAATAGAGTTTTAGTGACACTTTTTAGTCCTATAGTGGCATTTTTAAGCGTCGCTAAAAGCACTTGCGTCGATAGGAAAAATATCGCAAGCGACGTTTGAGAAAAAAAAATGCCGCAATAGGTAAAGACCAATAGCGGCGTTTTTGGAACAAACATCGCAATAGGTCGATATCTATAGCAGCTTTGGAACAAACGCCACAAAAGGTCGATATCTATAGCGACGTTTTTAGAACAAGCGCCGCAAAAAGTCAGATCTATAGCGACATTTTTGGATACAAGCTCACAAAAGGTCAGATCTATAGCAGCTTTTTGTAAAAAAACACCGCAAAAGGTCATATCTATAGCGGCGTTTTGTTGAAACAAACGCCACAAAAGGTCAGATTTATAGCGGCGTTTTTGGATACAAACGCCGCTAATTACCTTTCTTTAGCTAAGATTAATTGATTTTGCATATTTCATTTCTACTCTACATCACCTAAATTTAATATCATGTAGTTTTATCTAATTAACAACAACCATACATTTTAATTAAGACACAAGTTATGCAGAAAAATACTTAACAAAATAAATTAAAATTTATAAACATTAAAATTAAATGTAATGTAGTTTGACATTGCTCTCTAGAATTTAGTCTATACATTGCTTGAAAGAAGACGAAGAAGGAACTTGAAAGAAAGTCATCAACACACATAGAGAAGCACATTAAAATTTATACAAGTTCTTACAAAATTAGATTCACCTCTATACAATTACCGGTAAAAAGAAAAAGGGGAACTTGAAAGAAAGAAAAGTTGCCTCCATACCCGTATGTGACATACGGCTCCACCTTCTGCAGCATCTCCATCACACCCTCAGTTGCCTTCACAAAGACACCACTGAAAACTTTCCTCAATCTCAGCCTGTACAAGATGTTCCTGGTTTTTGGATGCATATCATTTTTGCTGCAACAAAGGGGGAAAATCAGACTGAAAATTTTGGAAGCAAAAATATTGAACAAGAACAAGATGCAAAAGGTCATCAACCCTTGTATACGTATGATGAAAAGTAAATTTGACCTCAGTTTTGGTATCATCGAGCAACTTCTATGCTGCCGTACTACCATACTATAACATTTCAAGCATCACATAAGAGCAGTCTTATGAAGCAACATTGTCATAAATGTCTAGTGACTTATTGACGACATAGATTTTTTTTATAGGATGTTAAGTTGTACATTTAGCTAGTTGACCAACCATAAGCATTTTCTTTCCTCAACTTAACCAGATTATATTGAACAAGAACAGAGATGGCAAAAGCTAACCTCAGTCAAACAGCTCACCCAAATCAATACTAGACCCTATTTAAGCCAACAGATCTCCATCTCTAGCAGAGGGGAGGGCAACAAAAAAATAAAAAATCAAAAAGAGAGAGAAAGGACCTGCTCAGTGAAGTAAACAACCCAAAGTGGATTTGCCTAAAACAAAAATGACTCCAATCAGGCGGACCTACCTAATCGACACCTCTAATAAACAATACAACCTTACTCCAATGAGAACACTACTAATTACAAATTGAAGTAAATTGCATGCAAAAGCAAGATATATTTCTTTATGTATAAAGTCTAGATGGACACATCGACCTAGAAACAACTTATTTAATCCACTATTTGATTGATGCATAACAGCAGAAAAAGAAGTTAAAAAAAGCAACAAAAAGAAAACCTCCTGCTTTGGTCCCAATTTCATATACTGAGGTGAATCCTCGGCAACTAGAGCAGGTTCACAGAGCTTAATAGCAGCATGAAGATCTTTCAAGTGCCCCCATTTTGGATCACTCCTTAAACCTAGAGACAAAATCATCGGTTAGTTTTGGACCTTAAAGCTCCAGCTATATTTGATCTTAGAGATATAAATTTATGACCATACAAGCTTCAAAACTTTGAGCAGTTTCACCTACCATAGTCATCAATAGGAGCATCATAATCGTAACTAGTAATATAGAAGGGCCCACCGGAAGTACGGCCAAAGTTTGTCCCACTTTTCAGTCCAAATTTGTTAGGGGAATTTGGTTTATAACCATCACAGTAATAATTATTGCAGGTATCAATCTGTAAGAGAGAACAAAGGAAGACAAACAAAAAAAGTTAAAGCATAATTAAAGAAAAACACTAATTTTTGTTTCAGATATCAATGTTGTAAACAAAATCGAAATTTAAAAACAAGAAAGCAAGCATCTTCCATGATTGGATATGCACAAGCATTACAAAGAAAACCAAAGCATTAAAGGTAAGGACCTTACTATATCACCCGGAGTATCAGTTTGCTTGCACATCACCCATGGAACCCCAGCATCAAGTCCCAAAGCCATGTTAGCAGCCCACTTGACATACTCTTTGCCCTTCTGGCCATATGAACCCTCCATATTGCCATATTCATTCTCAATCTGATAAAATTTTATCCGTGTTAAAGAATCTATGGGAAAGAGAAATTCTTGTCCCAATCTTTGGATGCACATGGATTTGAGAGAGAATTACAATCAAAATGAGTTTTATTACTGTATATTATTAAAGAGGTAAAATGGCCACTAGAATAGCTAAGACACCATATTTTCGGCTAAGACATTTTCTTTCAAGGACAAACAACGAATTTAGTCCCATAGAAATGGATAGTTATTTATTTTGATATGTGTGCTTGCATTAGGTTTAAATACTATTTTATTCCCTAAAAATAATGTTAAGCTTTCTATTCTACATGGAAATCAACCATGTGTTTACACACACAAAAAAATCAGTAACGAATTATAAAAATGAGCAAATATAAATTTATTAGTCTTTACAGATACAATATATTCAACTAAGTGCAAAGTTGTTCTAACGAGTTGATAATAAATAAACACTTAGGTAATTTTTGTTTACTGGTAAATTACCTTGCAGTAAACGATATGTTAACCACTGCTTAGAAAGTAGTCTTGAGAGAAAAATAACACTATACATAGCATTGTGGCAGTAGTTGAGAATCATACATTATTAAATGAATTATCTGATATCTAAATTACATGTAGGGACTACCTGCATCTTTTATTCTTCAAGAATCAAGATAGGATTTTCTTCTTTATAAAGAGTTCAGATTTAGTTTAAACAATGGCTAGTGACAATTTGACTCTAGATAGGATTGTCCATCTATGACAATGATGAACCAAATCATATGTATACATCCATATCAAATAAAATAATAAATATCCAAAATCCATGTTAGGCTCACGAGTTGCTCGATTCAACCGTTAATGATAAACAAACTTGACTCAATTGATTACTCTTACCACCCAGAATTTTGCTCGAGCCCAGTTAGGAAAAAAATCAAGATATAAAAGACTTAATTAGAATTATCATTACCCAAAAGAAGAACTTGAAACTTGACTCTAAAAAGAGTTAAAACACAACTTTGAAAACATGTAAATAAAATCAAAATCCTTGTTGGGCTCGTGAGTTGCTCAATTCATGTATTAAAGATATTCAAATACGACTCAATTTGATCTTTAATTACTCTGATTTAACTCAAACTGCACCTCAAATTCAGATAAGTGTTTGAGTACTCAACAAGTACTTTCACTCATATGCAGTTACAGACTTACAGTCAATACTAGAATGTATACCATTAAAGTTAACAGAAGAAATAAAGCAGTAAAGCTTTGAACACAATAATACATAGAATCAAATCAACAGCCGATTCAGGAAACAAGAAGCGTAATCGACATGCTAAAGAAACATTGTTGAGTTAATCGATCGACGGAATCGGCCAAGAGGGGGGTGAATTGGCAATTAAAATTTTGGTGGAAGCTTTTGCAGAAAATTGAAAGTAATTGCACAGCGATTTAGAGTGGTTCGACTCTCTCAATCAAAGTCCACTACCTTAGCTATCCACACTAAGGATTTTCCAACAAATTCACTAATTTGTTCTTTCTTTTAAGGCCAAAGAGATAACCTTACAACTCCCTCAAGAATATACCCCAATTCTTGAGAACAATCTTTCTCAAAGAGAAGATTACAAATTTGCAAACTTACAAGGAAATCCTCACAAGGTAGATTGTTTGCACAATTCTAGAACAAAGAAAAGAACACTAAAAAATGAATACAATTGAGTGCAAGTAGTGTTCTTGAAAGCAAAATGAATATTGAATGAAAAAGAGGCTTGAAATGCTTAAACTTGAGGTTTGATGCTTTCTCTTTGATTCTCTCTTGATTCTTGTTGATTGTTGTTTCTTGTTATTGATCAATGGCTTCTAAGCTTGTTTAAATACACCTTCAAATGATTCTGAACGTTGGGGATGCTTAGTGGAGTCAATAGAGCCGTTGAAGTGTGAAAACGATTAATTAAAGCAGTTGGGAGCGTCAGTGCGTCGATGCATAACCATGGTGCATCAGTGTAAAATTCAAATATTTTGATCGTTGGACCCTTAGTGCATTGGTGCACTAAGAGTGCATCGATGCGTCAAGTGCATTCGATGATTCAAAATAGCCAGAGTGCGTCGATGCATGGCTGGTGCATCGATGCATCAAATGCATTCAATGTTTTCATAAAATCCTCAGTGCATCGATGCATGGTATGTGCATCGATGCATGAAATACATTCGATATTCAATTTATTCCATGGTGCATCGATGCATGGATTGGTGCATCGGTGCATCACTTTGAAAAATTGATTTTAGGCTTGATTTTGGTTCAAAATACTTTGTGAAAATTGTTTCAAAAATATATTAAGTATAAAACACAATTTTACACTTTTAGTAAGGTTTGGAATTGATCTTGAAAGACTTGGAGTAATAATTTGATATTCAATTAATTAAATCGAATACACTTAGAAAATCATTTGTAAAATCTTAAAATTCATTTAAACTTAATTTGTTATATCGAAACATCAAAATGTTTTCAACAATCTCCCCCTTTTTGATATAACAAAACATTTGTGTTATTTTAAGATTTTCTAAAATTTTGAAATCAATTTTGAAAAATTACTCCCCCTTACTATAACACTTCTCCCTTTTAACACTTAATATTTCTCCCCCTTTTTGTTAAATCAAAAAGATTTTAAAATGCTTTAAACAAGGTTTTGAAAAGCATAGCTAATTGATTTTAAATATATATATATATAGCTTAAGATGCTAAGATCACAATCAAAAGAGATATTAGCCATTAGTTCCATAATTAATATTCATAAACAAATGTGAAATGGCAGAATTGGTCATATATATCTAATGATGCAAAAATAAGAAAATTCAACCAAACCAAATATATATATATATTAAGTTCAAAATCCAATCATCCAAACCATAACAAATTCAGGCATTTAACAATCCAAAATAAACAATCCAGAAACATCAAAAACAATCCAAGTTTGAAATACTAAGAAAGCATGGAGAAAAGGTCTAATCCATCGGAGGGTCAGGAGGAGGAGGATAATGAGCTCGAACTTCAAGAGTGAGCGCGTCCATACGTTCACGCATCTCCCGCTGAAACTCAGTAATTTGAGACTCCATGGAGGCAAACCTCAGATCAAATGACTCCAAGAAGGATAAAAAATATGGTGGCATTTGATCTTCTTGTTGTACCGGTTCCGGTGCAGGCTCATCGTTTGGAACGTGATCGTCGATATCTTGCATAAGTTGTTGAAACTCAGGATCATCTTCAGCAGCTGGTGCCGGAGGAGGAGGAGGAGCACGAGAAGAGCTAGGAGCAGCTCGTGAAGAGCTAGCTCCCGGAGTTTGCTTACCGGGTCGAAATACCCAAAGACCGGTTTCCTCGTCTTGTTTCCAATCCGCTTTCTTCAAGGAAGTAAGATTGATTTGATTTTGGAGTGGGATAGGATTTTCGAGAGAGACATTTAGACCGAGTTTGATAAAGAGGTTACTCAGAAGACATCCATAAATCAATGTTTCAACATGTTTTGAAGGAACAATGTTTATGATATCCACTAGTTGACTAAAAATAATGTGGGGCAGATTTATTTTGATCTTATTTTTAATACATTGCATCCACCATAAATCCCTAGTATGAAGAGTGGAGTACATACCTCCGGATGGTCTAAACCACCAAGAGATCATCAAATGAAGAAAACGATCGTGATGAGATCGTAGAGTACTAACACTAGAATTTGGAACATAGGGATATTCCACATTTTCAGTCTCATTATATAACCCATCATCATCTAACACAAAACGGAAAGCTATAGTCTCGGGATCAATATTAATATATTGGCCTAAAAGATAGGATCTAATGGCTATAGTCCCACATTGAGTTTCGTTTTGAATACATACCGCATTGGAATAGAAAATGCGGACTAACTGTTGATAAACGATAGGTTTGAGCTGAAACATTTTATCAAACTTTCAAGCTTTAAGAATCGGAAGGTATTCAAAGTCAATATCTATCATAGCTTGAAGAGAAACAATACGCTCTTCCCGGATTCTATAAGTTTGAAAAGAATTTCTATACCTAGAGTACAATTCGTCTCTACGACGCTCAAGCATGTTAAAACAAGATCCTAATAGAGAAATAGGTGGAGGAGGAATGGGATTAGGAGGTTGGCTTGAACGAGAACGACTCGATGAAGTTCTAGGGCGTTTGGGATTAGACATGGTTTAGGAGTCGAAAAAAGGAATATAACTTGCAAATTGAAACACATGTATGCAATTTAATCAATCCCAAAACTCAATTGAGTCCGCAATAATTCAAGGTTCTCGAAATTGAATCCTAATGGGCATAGTTTTGAAAACTATTTGAAAACAATATTTTTTTGTAAAATCATAATATGTATAGTTTTTTATGAAAATAATATAATTAAATCAAAAACTTCAAATTTAAAAATTCAATTCAATTTTTTGATTTTTTTAATTTCAAAAATTCAAAAAAATTCTTTGAAAATTTGTGAGTTTTTGATGAAATTGGTTGTAAAATCTAGTTTGTAATCATCAAACAAGCAATGCCCGATAAAATGTTCATCCTAGAACTAATTAAAACTAGTCCTAAGATTAGAATATGATA